CCCCAGTAGAAGGCCAGGAGACCATAAAGACAATCCACAAAAGAGAAATGAGCCCCGAGGAAAAAAACCTTCTTGATCCTAATCCATGTCGGGAGTTTCCTGCTGCAGATCCGTAGTTTGTCAGTCTCTCAAGGAAGCTGGCAAAGTAAAGGGGACTTAGACAGTCGGGGAGATAATTTAATCACTTTTAACTGTTGCTAGCTTGGTTCTATGTAGTTTGACTAACTTCTGGCTGGTTTGAGATGGTTTTTCCTTCCCCCCCTTTGCTAATTGAGAGAAACCGCAAACCAGCAGGGGGCGCCATTCTCCAGCTCATCCTGTTTCCAGTCTTGCTGAGACTCTCCCAATTTGAAAGATTTATATTCTGTTATATTCTATATTTGATATTCTTGAGCAATCAAGCTATCCCCTCCTCTTCTACAAAGACATGCCTTGAAGAGGCCACAAAAGAAAATCAGCCGAATTTGGGGATTATAATAACAACTGCAATCGGAAGAGGGATTTATTATTTGAGTCCAAGGAGTCTCCAGAAGAACCGGCAAAGGAGGGAGCAGCCATCTTAGTTTACAGTGGGAAAAGGGAAGAGTTTGAAGCTTCCTAAAGATTCATGGCTTCACCAGAGAAGAAAAGGAAGGAGGGAATTTATATACTGTGTTTGATCCGTCTGGCATTTTTCCCTAGAAAGACATATCTTCGCCTTGAAGAGGCCACAAAAGAAACCTTTGAGCATTTTTATTCAGAGCGAAGATCCTTTGGGAGTCTGAGGTAAAACACAGAATCATAGGACTGGAAAGGACCTCAGAGGTCTCCTAGTCCACCCCTCAGATCCAGGCAGGAGGAGACCTAATACCATCCCAGCCTCACAGATCCCCAGTCTATTTTTGGAAACTTCCGGTGAGGGAGCAGCCACAATTCGGAGGATGTAAATTATTCCACTGATTAATTGTTCTCACAGTTAGAAAATTTATCCTGACTTCTAGGTTGGATCTCTCTTTAGGAAGCTTCCACCCACGGCTTCCTTCATACCCTGCTCTCAGGGGCTTTGGAGAAGAGGTCCATCCCTTCTTCTCTGGGAAAGCCCCTCAAGGGCTGGAAGACAGTTAACAGGCCATAAACACCCAGCCTCAATTCCTCTCTTCCACAGGCCGGGCCTCCCTGGCTCTCTCCATGGTTCCTCCTTCCCTTCAACCTCCCTCCATCATCTCTCTTGCTCCTCCCTGCGCTCTTTCCAGGCTCTCAGCCTCTCTCTGGAATCCTGGAGACCGGAAGTGGGTCCGGCACTCCAGGGGGGGCCTCACTTGGGCCCCATAAACCGGAAGTCCCATTTCTCCGGTTCTCTTGATGCTGCTCTTCCTCTGTTGATCCCAAGACTGCGTCGTTTTTGGGGCAGCTCCACCTGACCCCCCCCCCCCCGCGAGGGGCTCCCCTCCCCCTCGCCCCACCCCCCGGCCCCGAGGGCCCCCCCCTCCGTTCCCAGCCCCCTCAGTTCCGCCCCTCCCCCCCCCAAGAGGCGGAATTCCTAGAAGGGGATTTCCCGATGGAACTTTCGCTTTCCTTTCCCTCCTCTCTCGCCGGTTGCGCCTGGACGTCTGCCTAGCAACAATGACGACATGGGGATACTTTTTTTCTACTGGTTGAGCCTGGCCAATCGCGGGCTTGCTCTGGGTTGTTGCGCAGTTGATCACGCGGGGCGCGTCTTTCTCTGCCTGCCACTTCGGCAAAGCGGAGCGCAGTTTAAGGGTCGCGGCCAGGATGGCTCTGCGCTCTGCGCCCCTCTGGCTCCTGGTGCTGCTGGCGGTCGCCCTACGGGAGAGCTGCGTTGGTGAGTCCCTTTGGGGCCTTTCGGGAGATCCCGCCCCCTTTTTTCTTCCAGGGAC